TTCTCATAGAGCTCTGAGAATTTTTTCAGAATTTTGTATTAACTTTCTAGTACTTCAAGAAAATGCAAGAAAACGCAAAAAAAATGCAGTACTAAAAAGTTAATATAAAATTCTTAAAAAATTCTTCGAGCTCTATGAGAAGAAAATAAATAATTTTTATCTCTTGCTATTTTTCGGTAAAGTTGATAGAATTCAAGTAAAAAGATATTGAAACCAATAATTTTGTAGTCCAGCAACTGACGCATGTTAGCGCATGCGCACAGAGGAGGAATAGGAATGTATATCTCTCTCGCACAGATTTTGGACACTTTTGGCTACAGGAGGCATACGCAATTCCCCCTCCATATGCTCCAAGATGAATACCGGCCTATCATTGGGTGCATCCAGAAACATGACCGCTCAGTGAGTTCTTGCCTCTGATTGGAGTATTCCTTTAGATCTAAAAATATATGTCAATTAGATCCAAGAGAGTTCATTGAATGCTTAGTAATCGGTCCTGCTTCTGGATACATTGTATATACGTCATTAGGATACACCCATTTTATCTTTCTCTTCAGACTGAAGTTGGCCATGGATTAAAATTTAAATGCAAATTTAAATTTTTTAAAGAATTTCAAAAAGTCTCCCGATGATTCCAAAAATTCTCTCGTATTGTCATAACAACCTTGCAAATTGATTTGTTTTATAATTAATCTTGGAAAGTATCACAACCGTTACATTTGGTATGAAAATTGAACATGGCACTCTCTTCAAGCCAATTGCACACGGTGCGTGTTTATGTTTTGAAACATTGGCTGCGTTCAGAAAACATAGCTGATCAGTGAGCGGTCAGTGATTATTGGTCCTTACTGTTAGATCTCTAACTTTAGACCAATTATATTGACGAATTGCTCAACTGTTATGCAACTGTTGAGTTCGTTGAACGCACCCACTGGTTGCTTTCCAACAAGAGCATAAATCGACACAAACATCATTCTATTTTTGTTCCACATTTAGTGAGTAACAAGGATAGGATGATATTTGTGTCGACTTGTATCTCTTGTTGGAAAGCAACCACTGACAACTAGTAATATACTAGAAATGTTGCGTTCTGTATGGCGTATTTCTAGTAATTCACTAGCATGCGATGCAACATGAAACACGCATCGTGTGCCATTAGCTTATGTCTCCATCACTTTTCAGTTGCAAGATGAATGAACTTATTTTGGTGTCAAGGAAAAACGCGGCAAGTTCTTGCAGTTTTCGTCTTATTATGTCCATTATGCTGCATAATTTGTTACGTTTTGCCGAAAGCAACCGCTTTCTACATCCTCTGTAATCACGAAATTTGGTTAATAAATTAACACGATGACAGAAAGTGAAACAAAACAGGCTTGCTTAAAATTTATAAAAAAACTTAGGAGTAAGTACAAACATTTGCATAGTTTACTCTATTTTTGCATTACGTACATTTTCTTCAATTTATGTGCTTAAAATATAATTGTTGCACGAACCTTTTATGTGAAGAAATTGAAAGAGTAGAAGTGTCAGAAACTTACTAATAGAATCAACATGTTTGCAATAACATCAATCACTGCAAAGCAAATTATATTATTGTTCATGTATCTTTTGTATTCATAATTAATATTCATTATAAATACTTTACAAATATATATGAAATTATTTAAAAAGTAAATCATTCAAGAAATATATATGAAATGAGTATATTTTTTATAAATATTAAAATGTTACATACATAATATATATTTTAATAATCAATGTTTGTGTTAACAGTTTCAAATTTTGTTTTCTTTATTGTTCTAGCAAAAGGTATGTTTGTCACAGAGTTTGACATATCTTTTAATATATTACAAGAAGAAGCTGCCACAAGAGGATTAGATGATGATGTTCTTGTTGAGCTCGCAGATGTTATTATACATCAAAATTTAAGTTAGTATATTGTATATGCAAAGTGAAATTTTAATATTATAAATTTTGGTAAATTTGATTGTTTTCATTTGTTTCAAAAACAGTATTTAAAAAAATTTTTGTATTATTAGGTATAAGTAGACGGATATCTTTAATAAAGTGCCTAATCCCAAGGTATATGCTACCTGAAAAAGTAGCTAGATCCATAATTACATGGTGTCTTTCTTCATTGAATGAATTACCAATTTCTGTTTCTGTAATTGTTATACAATGGATTATAGGTAAATATGTTTTATTTTATATATTATTTCTTATAAAATACAAGAATATATTTATGTGTTAAAATGTTAATATTTAGGTTTATGGGACTATGAATTAGTAGATAGGAAAGTAATCAACATATATTACGATATCTTTTTCTATGCAATGCTCAAGAAACAAAGATTGGTAATGTATATATACTACTTTATATAATTTACTACTTACTTTATATACTACTTATATAATTTTACATGTTAAAGGGTACAGTCCAGCGGGTGCTGCAAAAGCTTTGTAGTGTTTTTACTTCTCTCTCGAATTCTTTATTCGAATCCGAGGAATAGAACAAGAGGGAGAAACGCTGCGCAGCATTTGTAGTGGTTGTTGGATCGCATCCAAAATAAAATATTTAAAAATTTAGTATATATTAAAATATGGCTTGGTTTCTTTATTCATATGAATAACTATTCATACTTGAAGAGGCTTGAATCATATAGAAACTAATTCTAGATGTCTTTAAAAGGATATTACTTTATACAATGATATTACTATTAATATTACTTTATACAATGATATAGACAAATTTTTCAGGAACGTCACATAGCACGTCTTATCTATGTATTAACAAAACCAGAAGATGTTTCTCGCAGAGATGTTTCAAGATTATTAGCTCTTCAAAAAAGTTATTCCAAGCATCCTAAACATGTTACTGCATTACTTTCGTAAGTCTAATTATTTAAGATATTGGATTGATTGATAACTTAAAATAATTCGAAACATATTCCTAGTTTATTTAAATCATATAAGCCAGAATTGGTGCCTGAGAAAATTGAGTCAATGAATATAGAAAGTGTGTGGAAACCGATACCTGAGATGTTACGATTGTCATTGGAAGACGCTAAAGATCGTGCGAATATCGGACAATGGCGTGAAAACGTTCAAACTTATTTTGAGTGGAATACAATGCAGGTATAAAAATTACTTGCATAAATGTTTTATACATTGTGCATATAATTGTGGAGGATTTATATGGAGAGTCGTAAGGATTATTATATGTATACAGGACAGGAAAGATCGTAAGAAGAAACAAGTGCTCTTACCATCTGTTGGATACTTTCATATTGGTTCAAGTATTTTCAGAGATAAAGATGCAAAGTCAATTTTTGATGTAAGCAGGTAAGTAATAAATTGAAGAAAATGTTACTAACATAACATTAGCACATTCATATAGTATGATACAAATGCGTGTGTACGCGACTAATATGTAACCGGGTATATGTATGTATATCTTTACATTCGTGCAATGTATTTTAGCATAGAAGAATTGGGAAAATATCAACAGAGTGTTGAGTTACCTTGCAATGCTGTTTCACTTTTATCAAATATGGCTGGTTACCATCTTCTTACATTTGCAAACTTTCAGTATCAAAGCAGATTCTCTTACAACCTTTATAATACACTTACAAGAGGTACGCGAATGTTCATTTCTTAACTACACTCTGATAATACGAACTGTATGTAAACTGCAACGTTAATATGCCAATATTTTAAGCATTTATACTTGAGAATGGAAAGTTTTCCAATGAGGAAATGGATAAATTGCTTACTATGACAGCTGAGTTCTCTCGATACATGCAAGAAGGGATACTTGTAATTAAAATATTCTTTGATGAATATCTGTATTACAATACAGGAGAATATCTGCTGAAATTATTGGACTTGTTACAGTGGATGACTATTGTATCCACTGCTGGTTGGTTAAAAGAAGTATTCTAGTTCATATTACTGTAATTATAGGAAATATAATTTTTCATAATTTTCAGAATTGCGAGAAAATATTCTGGTGCATGTACAAAATATATTTTATGAATCAAATTTAAATATGAAATGTGAAATTATTCAATCTTTACGGAAACTAATTATAAATTTGGTAAGGATTAACACATTATGCACTAAATGCATGTATCTCGGTATATACATTTTTTAACATGAAGAAAAACAGTACGTGACATTCAGTATAAGAATCTAGAAATATTATCTGAGAACTAATTAGGATTATTGCAGTAGATAAAACTATTTCTGCAGAATAAATTTAGGTTGATATCTCATTTATCTCATTCAAATAGAGATAATGTATTAATATAAAAATTGTACTTATTACAGTTCGTTAGACAAGGTCTTGGAGAACAAATTACATCATCTTTTTTACAACAAGGCCCACTAGAAAATTTAGCTGATATTATATCCGTCATTATAGCAGTTTCGAAAAATCTTATTGTTGATGGGTTGAACATACACAATTACAACATTTTATTATTATTGGAAGCTTTGACATTTTACGAAGAAGTATGTATATACAGCAAATTGTAAAGTATATATTTATATTTAATTTATCCTTTATATATAATTCTACTTTGAAGATTTGCACATTGGAAAGCCGCAGTCGGATACCATCTTGGACACTGCCACCGTCAGCGGTTATTTATGGAGCATTTGTTACAAAAAATTGCGCTATTTTGTCAAGGCTTTGCAGATTGTTGTTAAGGTATTCTAATTTTTTACTTTCAAATTAACACCACTTTGTTGATTGCTTATACATGAATTATAGATATCGCGATATGAGTCCGCGATTACGTCACATGTTACCATCGGACATATATCAAGAGAAGATTTACATTATATCTGTTTATGCAAAAGATATTCATAAAGCGTTATGGTATAACGAGGTATGTATAAATAAGTGGCAGAACTGTTATAAATAAACTTATATAAATATTCAGCATTTAAACATATTTTCTTAACAGCCTTTCAGTGCCCGTGAGAATGGTGACTTTTTGAGAGGTCTTTCAAAGAAAGTAATTGACGATTTAGCAGATTGTGATTTAGACTCTTTACTGAGTATTAGCAATCATTACGCTATATTATCGTACAAGTATACGTTGAGTAAAATGGGTCTGGATATAAATACAAAAGAGGTATATCTTAAATATTTGATTTTTTATAAATTCTTAATTCTCTTAATTCTTCAAAACTCTATAGAATCTCAGTGCATTTAACGAAATATATCGATTATCACTGTGACGTGAAATGCGATTCTTTAGTTTTGAAAATGAGCAAACTGGAAACTTCGTTTTAAATAATAGTGATTTTATTCATATTTTTAGGATACTATGGCTATGGCCTTATATTACTTTCCCGCAGTAAATGAGTTCCTTGCTGCGTTTCATGAGTGACACTTCAATGTTGTGATATGTACGCGCGTACATGCATATATACACTCATATACACATCATTGAATAAGCATACATTGCGATGAAGGTGAAAAAGAGTGTGCTATTTACATTTGAATAGGTCTAATATATATAACCAGTTTTACTATTATTAAACAGGTATATGAAGCAATTAAAATAAATTATTGAAATTTTGTACAGAAATTTGCCTTATTGTGTTATTCATGATTATATCAGATTGGAAGGTTACAATAATTTTAATTTTTAAGAAATAATATTTTTCTCTTTTTGTATATTTATTTGTAATGACAAAACCACTGTTATATTTATATTAATCTAATGCATGTTTGATAAAAATTTGTGTAATAAGCTGCACTCTCTTTTCTTCCTTTTATAAACAAAGATAATCTTTATCAATTCAAAACATAATATAAGAACCAAAATACATATGTTATTTTCCATGTAACAATAATTTATATTATTACATTGGAGTCTTTTAATTATTATTCTAAACGAGAGAGATATTTAGCTTATATCAATAATCAGGCAAAAATGAACGCTTATAATACTTAAATTAAAGCTACACGTTTTTAATTTTTATAATCTATCCATAATGAAACCTTATGAACTATCAGAAGTATTAAAAACTAACGTTCTGGTTTCATTTAATTCAGTATTAACTATTTCGCAAGTACAAATTTAATGGATCGTGTGTGTGTCTGTTTTATTGTGTGACATTTTAATTGTAGTTGATTGTAATGTACGTTAACATAAACACAAAAATTCATTAAGTGTACGAAGAACATTAAAGAAAATATTATTAGTAAATATGAGGCTTAAATCAGTTGTATAATATAATGTATTATATCAAAATATACAATTTAGAAATAAATGAATGAGAAAAATAAAATTGATTAAAGAATCGAGAGCGTAACCGCTCTGTATAAATGTTAGAAAGACTTATTTGCAATGCCTATGAAAGTCTTTGATTTCGTGAAGGGATTTTAGTTTTTTTTTTTGCAAATACGGGTAAATAAACATTATAAGAGCAGAGAAAACTACACACACCGATATGTCATATCTTTATTAAGTGTTAATATAAAAATAAAAGTTAAATGTAGCAAATGGGAACAGTAAATGTGCTCCTACAATAATCTCGGAAATTAAATATATCTCGGAAATATAATATATACGATAGAATTTATTTTGCTATTATACCTGCATTTGACAATATGTTTTATTATTCAACTTCTTCGATTTTTTTTCTTTTTTATATACCTATATATTCAACTTTTACAATTAATAACGCAAAGAGTAGCTCTATGATGTAAACAAAATATACTAGTCCGTGTCACATACTCATTAGTGAATCATGCCTTACAGTTTCGAGTTGGATACACTAAGGGCAGTGACTTTTTAGCCTTAAACAGTAAACGATTTGTTCAGTGTAAAAACAACATATATATACACGTTATGAAAATTATGAAACACTGCTTTCAGCTAATTTTAACAAACGAATTATGTTATATGGCACGAACAGATTAATCCTCATTGAAATATATTTGTAAAATATCGGCCATAACTTATTGTGTGTATTCTCTTGTACATAATGTAAGGTAAGATACTTATGTGGTATTCGTATATTATCTTATCTTCCGTTTTCTATATTATTAATGAACGAATAATGTAAATTTCTAGTGATTTTTGTATGCGTATTTTTTATGAACCACTAATGTATTGCTTTTTCTCAGCTAAGTCGCAAAAACGGAAGGTCCAGTTTGGTATGAGCGTGCAAGTTAGTCGTAAAGTATATAGAAAACAGTACGTTTTACGCTGCACCTTCAGTTCAATATGCTTTGCACGATATTCGACACATATGCTCAAAAAAAAAAAAGAGAGAAAGGGGGAACAGTAAACTAAATAAATTTTAGGAATACTATGTATGATACTTAACAAAGAGAGTCAATATGTAAAAATATTTCTTCTCTTGGAGACGTTTCATTTTTTACAGATGGACAGAATAACGTTATAAGTAAGATATAATATCTCAGGCTTTCGAGAAATTAATAATAATGAAAAATGAAATGATCCAAATGCACTTATTGTATCTGTATACTTGTATACAGTATCTAATAAATTGTATTGTATCTAATAAATAAATACTTATGAGAGAGATATATCTCTGTGTGAACATGATTAATACAAAAAAAGATTACTAAACGCTTTAACGTGTTCTATCATATTATTCATATTTTTGTTTTAGATTCTAGAGTATGTAGTGTAGTCCAATCAGTGTGGTAAATCAAACATGAACCATTATGAACACAGTATATATTCATTTCGTACGTTTAAATTTACTGTTTAAATTTATTGTTTTAAATTTACTGTTTTAAAAAATAATTTCTACGTAACACTGATGCAATAATTCCTGGTGTGAATTCTATATCATTGTTCGCACAATCATAAAATGTCACAACACTAATTGGATTTTCTTAAGTTTAGATTTACGTAAATCAAAGAAACATAATCACATCGTGACAATGAATCTATAAATTCGTGAATACTGTAAACCGAACTACATCTCTTTCACATACGCAAACATTTTCGAATAAAATCTGACGTAACATTTATATTTGAAAAAAGAGAAACAGTATTCGTATTCGCCCAAACGATACGTAGTCTTTTTATCCGTTTCTTGCAAAACATGGATTGGCTACTGCGTATTTAATGATATGCATTTTGAAAATATAAAAATACGTAACATTTCTTAAATCTGTATAGGATGCAAAAGTAATTCTCTTAAATAATAGAAGAATTATTTGAGCGAAAACGAGCTGTTGGCAACGCGGAATTACATTTTACTCGGTATACGTAACATTCTAAGAAAATATAACGTTTTGGCCAATGGGGAATCTATTCTGTAAATTATGTAAATGTAGATCACTAAAGATATTTTCAGGAGGATAGGGGAAACATTTCACTTGTCAGAACGCCAAGGAAAGCTAATCGCTACTATGGATAAAGTTGTCAGCTGCGCAGGTTTCATTTTGATCACCTTGTCTTAAATTTTGAACATTAATCTTTGGCACAATATATCAATTAAGCAAAACTAATTATAACTATATATAAGAAACAATAACATAAATGTAACATAAAATTTACATGTCACAATTAAGTTTGTTCACGAGAGATGTACACGCATAACATGTATTTTCTTTGTTTACTAAATCCATATTATTTGCTGAAATTATTTGCTGAAATAAATATATATGTATATACATATATATTTGTACATACACATGATTGAACATAAATATGCATGTATATGTGTGCGTGTGTTTTGTTTAATAATTGCTGAAACATGTCAAAGTTTGTCAAAAGAGAAAAAAAATACAGGTGTAATATAAACTCCAAAAAATTAATTCTCTATAGTTAAAAATGTGTTATACATAGAATTTTATAATCTATGTATAAATGTCGAAAATACATCTATGTGATCTACCTATGTGAATAAAGTTATATTTATATATGGTGTATGTGTGTGTGTTTGTGTGTGTTAATATAAATATAAATATATATTGATATTTACACTTGTAATACATTACAATATATATGTATGTATTAGACTTTAGAGATATATATTTATATTTATATTTCGATATTGCTAGTAAAAGTAACTATTCTGGACGTCATCCTTACGATGATGGTCAGTTCGTTTGATGTATATTACGAGAATTATACTTACGTATGCCGTATGCAAATACATACATTATCTTGTCTCTAACACTCACACACTTTGTCCTTGCATTACGACAAAGAACTATTTCACTTCACTCTTAGCTATAACACAGCTTTTGTACACAGAGCAGTTTGTATTTATCATAGAAAGAACGATATATATTACGTATGTGTGTATATATACACACACAATACATATATATCGTATGCATGCATGTGTATATATATATATATATATATATATATATATATATATATATGTATGCGTAAACATACATAACACACGCGTATAACAGCTTCACAGTTAACAGTAAGTGATAAAATAAAACAGATCAGTCCCAACTACCGCTACTTGCGTCGTCGAGCGCATCTTCCACGTCGGAGGAGGCCATACTTTCACATATGAAATCCGGATCGTCTAGGAACTGTTCTCGATTTCTTTTTGTCTGATTGTTTAATCTCATCTTGCGTTTCTTTGTCGCTAATGTAAGCTCATCTTCTGCAGTTCGCTCCTTGCGGAATTCGTAGACTAGTGGGTAAATATGCTCAATCGCCGCTTGGACCGAAGCGACATTGGGCGCTGTGATGCAACATATATATAATTATTATTTAGTATATTACATATATTAATTTCGTTTTTATGTATTTATTGTTACTGTCCATAATTATATTAATCATAATAATTTGTGAAACAAACATATATAATATCTTTTTAATAATTAAAAAAACCTTTAATATTTACAATTAATACTTTAATACTTTTTGTGATATCCTAGAATAATTATTTTTATATTAAAAAACTACCGATTTAATAATATATTATGATAGAATAATATTGCACACAATACAATATAATAATAATGCAATATTGATTATAATTTTTATTCTTGAGCTTGTGATAAAAAAAATCTTATTTATATAGTTTTTTCTGTCTTTCAGAGTGATTCATAATAGTTTATAATGATTTATAATAGTCAATTGGATGTTTTAATAAAAGATATCAATGGCTAATATGTTCTACACATTAGAATTTAACAAAGTATTTGATGAATACGTTACCAGTTACAGTAACACTTCCTGTAGAAAATATTTTTAATGTAGCTTTTGGATCCTTTAACTTGTATGTAACTCCAGGATGTAATTCTGGCTCATATCTGTGTATGGAAGAAAACATTTATTTAATAATTGATATTTATATATTGTATACATTCATAAATTTATGTATATTCATATATTTGCTATTGTTGTATTAATAATGATCTTAACATATTGTCGACTAGCTATTTTTAATAATGTCCAATTATTGATTTAGACCTTGAATTAGCCAACAATGTTTGACTAACAAAATATAAGTTTTTTCATAATCAGTCAACAATGTGTATTAAATTAAATAATTTTTTTACATAATATGAAATACAATATTCTATCTGAAAATAATATAAAACGTTAATTGATAATACTTTTCATACTCACTCTGCATTTTCTTTATGATAAATCGAAAATGACGTTATCTTGATAGCAAATGGCATACAACAAGTGCCAAGTACATTAACAACCCTGTAGTTATTGAATCTCACTTTAAATCCAAGTTTTTGAAGAGAACGGGCAAATCTGCGTGCTGCAATTTTTGCTTGAACTTCGCTGGTTGCTCCTGTGCAGGTTACCTTACCGGATGACCAGATGGATGCTGTAGTATATGGTCTCCTTAACTTCATAGTTATCATCTGAAAATATCACATATAAAAGGGGATTTATGTATACATGTATGCAATGAGAATATATGTGAAATATATTATTTCTTAAAGTATAAAGAAATAAAAAACAAAATTATTATGCATTGTAAAAATAAACATCTTTAATTATTACAATAATGGCACAATGTTCTACATGGTACAAAATAAAAAACTGGTCTAAAGGTTGTAGTTAAAAGACTACAAATTGTAATGAATTTGGAATATGCAAACTTGTATATAGAACAATTTAGATATCATGTATGCATCATAAATATTTACAATTCAATATCTCAAAAATAGTTTCAGTTGTAAACAAGATGTTTCTTTACTCATAAAGGTTTCAGATATATTTCAAGAGTGAGTAAGAGAAAGAAGTGACAACAAAATAAATATTTTAATAATTCTATTTTTGAGACAGAAGCTGGTTTTTATTACAAAATTTCATGTACTCAAAGTGATTAAATTCATGTAGTTCAATATGTTTGTAATCAATTAATGTAAAAGAAAGTTTAATATCACTGCTTATAATCATGAATATTATTCTTAAAATTTTATAATTTTTGCTCAAAATATCTCTTTAAACATGTTTTTCTTCCTTCAAGATAAACTTGCAATACTTGTAACAAAACAGCTTTTTTATATGATAATTATTACAGTATAAGTATATAAATAATTAGCATACCCCATTTTCTCTTCTGTATTCAACATTAGATCCTTTTAAAGCTATTTCGCGCAAGTTCAAATGACACCTCACACTAAAACTGCAAACTACATTATTAATAACAATATCAAGCTCAGGAGGTTCTTGTTCAACTGTATCTACATAAGGCTGTAGTTGGCCCTCAAACAGCCTATCATCCTTTTTCTCTGTACACTCATTGGCATTGTCCAAATTATTAACATTCTCAACATGATTTAGAGATCGATTGGTTAGAGGTTTCATGCCATTCTTTTGAATAGCAGTTGCCATAATATTATGTACCTGAAACACATATCAAAGTCAAGTTTTGAGAATCCCCATGTACATATGCAACTGCAGCATATCAGTTAGATTTCCTGTAGTTTGTTTATTGCCATTTGAGAGATATTTGAGTGAAATTTAGCCTATCTAGCCTCAGATTAGAACAAGTTGATTAATCTCAAGCTCAATTATCAAAATCACTTAAACATACTAACAATAATCGTGTATATCTCCGGTAGTATAAAGCCAACAGTCGATCGCGAAGCCGAGCGAGATGCAAATTGATCGTGTTAGTTAATCGATGGAATCATGAACGTATTTAAATATAGCGACGCTTGATGTTGCGACCGAGTGCACGCGCGTAGAGATATCTTCAAGACACGTTCTCGCGACAAGACGTACGAATGTACGAGATGTTACTCGCGATGCATCAAAGTACACAAAGTTCCTCATTGCACGTTAACACGTGCCCGTTTGCGCGCGCATTGCACGAGAACAATACGCGATGTGGTCTTTGGAATAGCAGCTGATGATTTCGTGAAATTTTGGAGCTTCTGAGTGACATTAGTGAGCAGCGCGAGCCGATAACGGTGCGACGGAACGTGAAGAACGACGGCGACACGCCACGACGGTCAGACTACTGAGAATGTCCCGCGACGAGACTGCGGAACGACCTTAAATTCGAACGGTCGGAGGCTAATAAGAACGTGTTCGGCTACTCACGTGTGCTATATCGCGTTTCTCAGTTTCTTTCGAATCAAAAATTACTTCTTTGTTGACAATTGTCTGAGGAACGCAACGTTAACTCAGTAACTATTGCCATTGCTCGCAGCCATATTCGCTAGACTGGCGAACACTGGCGATCTAAGCTGGCAACCGATGGGTCATGAACTTTCCCGTTGCATCTTAGATGACCAAGCGCGCAGCGATAAACACATCGACGCTGCATAGAAATGTCCTTAATAATTCATTTATGGCCGCACACAGAACGCGTGAAAGCGCTGGCAACGCGGCAAGAAACCACAGGGTGTTTTCCAATTGCTTAACACATCTTGACACATATGTACACAGAAATGCACAAAGTGTAACGTTGTGCACGATTCAATTGGAACAAAGTGTGTACTAATATGTATGTATGTCAGGTAAGGTTAGGATTATTTTTCAACAATGCTTATATTTTGTTATTTTTTAATAATAAATAATAAAATCTAAATAATAAAAAAGATATTATTTAGTTCACGTCGCAAATGCCAGTCTCTTTTCAAGCCGCTACGCTTATTAACTTTAATTTTCACTAGAAAACACAGCCGACTAGTAACCCTCGAACTGAGTACGAATGTGTAGTGTTGCATCGACGATTACGACATTGGAATGCAACTTGTGTCGCCGTGTGCATGAAAGTATCTAGGGATATTGCAATTGAAAAGCACCCACAAGGTAGCCAATAAACTTTTAGCTCCTAGGCTATTACATGTATTGTACACAAACTAATCGGATGTTTTGATTGGCTGTCGAATAGAGAATTTCCGAAATGTCCGACAATGGGTGTTTACGATAATTCGAGTTGGAGTTAGTACGAGTAATGGCTCCTGCACATAGGACGCGGTAATGCTTGCCGCGCGGCGGAAGTTCGCACGACAGCCAATCAATATGCTGCTTTCCGTAATAACCTTCTAGCTTTTAGAGAAAAACAACATATTGATTGGCTGTTGCTCGAACTTCCGCCGTGCGACAAGCGTTACCGCGTCCTGTGTGCAGAAGCCATAAGAAGTTGTCATAAACTACAAAAGTACTAGATGGTCGTGCCTATCATAATTTCGGTCCTAGTGGAACTAACTCTAATGGCTCCTGCACACAGGACGCGG